CACTGCACACACATGGTGCACAGACGTGCTTGTAGGCAAAATGCTCATACTTTAAATAAATAAATAAAACAGTCTAAATACTTGGTTCTTTTTAATAGAATTGTATGTTTTTATGGGTGTTTTGCCTGCATATATGTCTATGCGCCACACAAAAACGTGTTGGATTACTTGGAGCTGGAGTTAGGTGTGGTTGTAAAACACCATGTGGTGTTAGGAATCAAACCCAGATAGATGTTTTGGAAGAGCAGCTAATGCTTTTAGCTACCGATACACTTCTCCAACCCTTAGATACTGGATGGTTATAAGATATGCTTTGTAAATATCGTCTCCTGTTTTGTAGGTCGTCTTGATGTGTGTGTGTGTGCGTGTTTTTTTTTTTTTTTTTTTTTGTGTGTGTGTGTGTGTGTGTGTGTGTGTTTGTGTAGGCCAGAGAAAAAATCTCAGGTGTTGTTCCTCAGTTGTCACCCACCTTATTTTTTGAGCTAAGATCTCTCGTCCTGGGGCTCAATGATTATGAGCTGGATTGGCTGGCCAGTGAGGCTCAGGGATCTGCCTTTTTCTGCTTCCCTGGTGCAGGAATTATAAGCACATACCACCTGCCTGGCTTTTTATGTGAGTTCCAGGGCTTGCACTCAGGCCTGTGAGCTTGTACATCAGGTGCTTTACCTTTGCACACCCCCCTGTCCTGAGAGTATCTGACCTACTTCCTTGTTACTAGCCTAGTGGTGGAGAGCCGGCTGCCCTGGACCCCAGTTCTGTGCTGTGTATGCTGACCCAACCTACTGAGCCTCCAGGCTATGGTATTAGCATCCCTGGAAACCAGTGTGTTAGATGCATTGCTGTTTCCAATAGGGCAGTGAGGCATTGCAAGAGGCACATAGGACACAGGCTCCACCCTCATGAGTAGACCTGGACCTTCTCTCTAGTGAGTTGCTTCTGCAGGAAGGTAGGTAGGGAGACTCATGCTTTTTCCTCTCTTGTGTTCAGCTCCCTTCCACCACTTTATAATATACAAGAACCCTGGCTAGGAGCCAACCAGGTTTTGGCCCCCCTGCACTTGAACTTCCTGTCTTCAGAACTATAAGAAAGAAATGTGTTTTATTTGTAAATGATACAACCTCAGGCCTCTTGCTATAGCAGAGTTTCAAGGCAATGGTGAAACCATTTCTAATTCCTCGCCCAGAGAAGACTGACTCCATAGATATGATGCCATGGCATTTCTGAGCCCTGCTGTCCTGTCACCTCCCAGCACCCTCACTGCCTCCAGATCCCCGACTCAATAAACAAGCTGTAGTCCGTGCATTTTGTGTGTTGCCAGGTGTGTTGGCACAGGCTTTTAATCCCAGCACTCAGGAGGCAGAGGCAGGTGGAGATCTGTGAATTCAAGGCCAGCTGGTCTACATAGTGAGTTTCAGGACAGCCAGGGATTTGTAGAGAGGTCATATCTTAACACACACACACACACACAGAGCAGTGCAGTGTTGGGAACTGAACTGAGGTCCCCTGGGTAGGCGAGTGCTCACAATTGACTGCTGAGCCATCTTTCAGCTTGATTTCAACCCTAGCTGTAGCCCACACTAGGCAGTGTGACTTTAAGTAAAATAATTTACCTCTCTGAGCTTCAGTTTGTCCTCTATAAAAATGGGGATGAAATGATGCCACTAACAGACATCCAAAGACATGTAATGCACAGTCAGCTGCCACCAACCCATCGGCACTGTCTGGCTGCCTTGGCTGACCCTGTGGTCAAGGGGTTCTCTGGTGGTGGGCGCTGCAGCCATTCCTCCCATCATGGGAACTGAATCTCAGAGGTCTGGGATAGGCACAAGAGACATTGACTGACTTGGAGAGCTGGAAAAGCCAATGCCCTGGGACAGACCCAGGTGCTCACACTGTCTGCAACCAGCCAACGAGCTTCACTGCAGTGGTTCCCCTCCCCCACTCCGCACTCCTGTTTGTGCATTCACCGCACACAGTGCATACAGAAGTAGGAATAAGCCCTCTCTGACTGACACCAAGCCCTTCTCTCAGGGGACAGGCAGGCTTATGAGCAGAGTATCCCCATGTGCCTGGACATTGCTCTGTGTCCCACTCTGCTTCTGCAGGTGCCCCTTGGAACCTCAGATCAGGGGATGCGTTAAATATGTCCCAAGCATCTTTAAAGAGACCTGACCCTGGCCTGTGCCATTGAGGTGCTCAGGAGGGACATGGTGTGACATTCCCCCATTGCCTTGGGCATAAGTGAGTGAGGCCCATCTGCTCTCCTGGATGGGATAATTGTTATTCTCAGCACTGACTGTGGAGCATGGAGCAATGTAGGGGCTAGCAAGTAGGGGCTAAAGGGGAGACGTAGGACTGTGGGGTACCTGCAGAGACTCAGAACTGGGGTGCCCTGTGGGTAATAGCAACTTCTGGTCAGGTCCCCTGTAGCTATAAGCCTTGACAGGTAGAATGCCACTCCTTAGGTCCACAGGCCAGTGGGCCCCAGACTGAGAAAATCTCTCCCCTTGGGGGACTTGGGTTTTCTCTGCTGTCAGAGGAGGTGGGGTTGTATTGTCCCGAAGGCACTGCAGGTCCCCGACGGATCTGCTATAAACCGCAAAGTTGAGCGAAGTCCCAGGCAAAGGGGTGTTTAGCGGCTTAGCCTTGTCACATGCTGAGCAGTGCTCTTCAAGAATGATGGCCATCCTGATCACTGCCATGTGACCTGGACGTCACCACGGCTCACTGGGTCCTAATGTTCTCTTCTGCTGTGGGTTATTTGTGTTCTGCTTGGGGACACCACTCGGTCCTGGCTTGAGAATCATTTCTGCCACCAGCACCATTGGCTCCTTGCTTAACAACACCTCTATATCCCTCAGGCCCTGAGAGGTCTGTCAGCAAGCACCCTTGCTTTCCAGAACCAAGGAGCCCGAGGCTCAGGAGGCTAAGGGTCTGGCTGGCAGCAGCACAGTTCTAGGAAAGGCTGGCTCCACCCATCTGCCTTCCTAGGAAGCAGGGTTGCAGTACCTGCTGCCACTGCCCTGTCATCCCTTCCTCCCCTCTGGGACATCACCTCCTCAACAGTTGGCCAAGAGGAAGCTGACATGGGACAGGTGGGGAAGGGCCCATCCATTCCTGAGCTTCTCGAGAGGCAGGGCCAATCTCATGGCTACTCAGTGACTGTCCAGGGTTCTACATGTGTGGCTTTAGCAGAGAAAAAGATATCCGTGAAACCAAACCATACATGGAGTCACAGTGTGTGGAAGCCATCGCTGCTGTGCCATGGGCACTGTGGTTGAACTGAGCCAAGTATTTAAGGTTTATCCCTAATATTCAGGGACTGTCCACATGGGAACAGAGCAGATTTGCTGACTGCTTGCAGACTGACAGGATCACCTTGGAGGATGTTTCACATGTCACCCTGATAATCCCACAGCCAGCCCAGGTGACAGGCCTGGAATCACACTCACTTAACAGAAGGGGAAGGAGAGGCTCAGCCAGGTCTGTGCTGGCAGAACCAGGGCGGCTGCGCACACCACACCTCTCTGTTCTCTGCCTCTGTCTGGGTTTACACTCTAAATGGATTGTTACTGATCTGGTGTCCAGCTCATGTGTACATGGTGACCTTGAAACTATAAGTCACAGAATGAATGGAGTGGTGAAGAGGTGAGATTCTGGAGCCTGCCTTGGTTCAAATCTCTGCTCTGTACTCCATTGAACAAGTCATGTAACCCATCTGTGCCTCAGTTTCCCCATCTGAGCTCCAGTCAGCCTGAAAACATTCATCTCAGTCTCATAAAACAGAATGGGTGCTTTCTGTATTTGCACCTGTTCCCTGTATCTCAGTGTCCTAATCCACCTTCCTCTTCAGGAGACCACAAAGTCCTTTCCCTGTAGTTCTGGGCCTAGCCTCACAAACAGCAAGTGTGTCTCAGTCAGCTGTCTCTGGTAATGCTGCATAACAAGTGATCTTCATCTCAGCAAGTTATAGGAGCAGGCACTTTTACTGTCTCAGTCAGTTCTTGTTGATGGTGCCGTGTAACAAGTAGCCTCACTCTCAGCATGTTACAACAGTAGGAATTCTTTCCTGGCTTCCATGAAGTGTGTAGAGCATCTGGGGTTCAGGTCATTTTATGTATCTTGTCATTTTTGACACCGGGCCAGAGTAGTGGCCTCCACCCAGGACCTCTGTTCCCCTGGTCAGGGCAGGAGCAAGCATAACCCAGTCAGGAGGTCTTAGAAAATGTGTGTATTATGTCTGTGCATGTCCCACAGCAGGTTGTGTGGGCCAGTCCATGGCCAGGGCACAGACAGGCAACCCCCCTGTAAATAAAGGTGACACAAAGACACTTATCCTCAGACACTGTAACTCCCTCCACTGTGGTCCCCAGTCAGCATTATCTATACCAAGTCCTTCTCAATGTCTGCTGTTACTGTGCCTCAGGCCCATGGTTTTATCATGTTTTGTTTTGTTTTGTTTTGTTTTGTTGAGACAGGGTCTCTCTGTAGTCTTGGCTGTCCTGGAACTCACTATGTAGACCAGTATCCATCCGCCTGCCTCTGCCTCTTGAGTGCTGGGATTAAAGGTGTGTGACACCATTCTCCGTGAGTACTTTTTTAAAATTGGATGAGCAGTTAGTCTGGTCTCCTAGCTCCATAGTCACAGTCAGAATGTTTTGTACCTCTGTGTGTCTTCTTGTCTGTAATGCTTTTTTTTTTCATCTTTTGCCCTCTGGCAAGCTCCTACTCATCCCTCAAAACCTCCGCCTTGAAGCAGCCCCCTGGGGAAGCCTGCAGCCCCTCAGCATTCCCCACAGTATATTCTGGGTGCAGTTCCAGCACCGTGTAGTCCTTCCAAATGTTTAAACTCTCGTGGATGCTTCACGGGGCCTGAGACTGTTTCTCTCCCTGGACACTCCTTGATGTTGTATTTTCTTGGAATGGGGAATCCAAGCGCCTTCCCCTGGCAGTGCCTGCCATCAAGGTCTAGAATAAGCCAGTATTTTCTTCTCCTTCAGCCTCAAAGACAAAAATCAAGGTGAACTCATCCCCCCTGTGCTGCGGTGGACAGTGACATACCTGAGGGAGAAAGGTAAGGAGATAGAGCCTGCCGGGCCACTCAACAGCGCCTTTCCAAGGGCTTCTGTTCAGATCACAAACACTCCACAAGCCAGGTGCTGCCGGAACTTTGACCTGAGCAAGCATGTGATGTGGCCCTAGATGATCTGGCTTTAAATACATATGTGTGTGCATGCCTGTGTGTGTGTGTGTGTGTGTGTGTGTGTGTGTGTGTCTCATGTACTGGCTGTGTGACCTTGAGCCAGCTGCTTACCTTATCTGGGCCACCAATTCCCTGGTCTGTTAATACCAATGCCTGATTCACACAGTTGTTGGGTGTGTGCACCCCTGTGAGCAGTGGGTTCATTGACTGGGCTGAGCCTGGGTCTGCAGGCTCCATTGCCCATGGATGAGTATGCTCCATGGCTTGGAAGGCTTGGGCCTCACTGCTTTCTGAGATCATGGCTGGAAGACAGAAGAAGCATTGTATGTGCAAAGGTCCTGTGGCCACCTTAGGTGTATGTGGGTCTGTGAGAAAGCTAGGAAGGAGAGGTAAGAGAGACCAGAAAGACTTCAGCCTCCAGGTTGCTGCCCAGTGTCCCCATGTATTATGTTACCCACATGGAGTAGCTCGGGGCTGACTTTCTTTCCCGGTTGTGAAGCCAACAGGGGCCTGGCAGGAAGGCAGCCAGTTCATGATGCTGGATAGAAGAAAAGCCGAGCAATTTCTTTGGGGGTCACATAGCTGCTAGGAGGCAGGGGCAACTGGGACTCAACGATGTGTTTCTGCATTTCCTTCTCTTAGAGAGGGAGGGCCTCGAGGTAGGATATCAGGTGACTGGAAAAGCCTGACATGTTGCCTCAGGAGGTTGATGCTGTAGACAGGGGAGTCACAGAATCTCAGGAAGGCCAGAGTTCTGGGATCTGAGATGTCTAGTCTCTTCTTCCTGCAGGGCTTCGCACGGAGGGTCTGTTCCGGAGATCGGCCAGTGCCCAGACTGTCCGCCAGGTGCAGCGGCTGTATGATCAAGGTGATGCCCCAGACCCCTCCCTCCTGCCAGATTCTCAACTGCCATCCCCAAGTCCTTGGTAACTGTATACTCCACCTAGCCCCAGGAACAGGCCTGGTCAGGACTGCTGCCTGGGAACTCCAACCACCATCCCATTGTAGAGCAAGGGGGTCTTATGTCCTGACTCCAGCCTGCTAGGCAAGGCGCTGCCCTAGCCCTCATTGCCTTTTTGCCTTCTCCACTGACACCACGTGGCCACATGTTTTGAACTGATACTTCAAGGTAGGGAAATCATGTTATGGCTCTCCATAGGCAGCCCCAACCCTGCAAGCAAAGAACTGGCATCTGAGCTGGGGGTACCCCCAAAATAACACTAAACAAGTAGCTATTTTGCTCCCAGGAACACTTGCACCCTAGCCCTGCTTGAGCTTTCCGTGTTCCTGTGATTGCATGTTCACTCATCAAACACTAGGCCCACACGGTTCCCATCTGGTCATTTAGGCATCAGCCTGGCCCTGTGTGTGTAGCTCCAGAGCCAAGGCCCTGACCTTGGAGTTCAAACCTCTTTCCAGAGTCAAACTTTACCTGGAGGGAACCAATGGCTGGCTCTGTGGGCACTCTAGAAGAGGGAGGCAGTAGCAAGAAGAGGGAAACTGGTGGGGAGCAGCACCCTCATGCCCAGGTGGGGACAGAGGCATCCCTGGGACATATGGCTATGACCTACACCTCCCCCTCCAGCTTCCACGCCATGGACTGAGTGAGCTGCTCAACCATGCCATGTCCTGTGTTCAGGGAAGCCAGTGAACTTTGATGACTACGGGGACATGCATGTCCCAGCTGTGATCCTGAAGACGTTTCTGCGAGAGCTGCCCCAGCCGCTGCTGACCTTCCAAGCCTATGAGCAGATTCTTGGGATCACCAGTACGTACTCACACAAATCCTGGCCTCAGGGCATCCCTGGCTGACGACCCAGGTCAGCCTCTGTCTTGACTGAGGTAGTGTCCACCCTACCTTGGCCCATTACTGTCTGTTCTGTGGGTCAGCAGAGGGGAACTTGGGGCCACCCCTCTATTCAGTGAGGCTGTGGACTGCTGCTGACATTAAACAGGCCGTGTTGTCCTTGGGATTGGGGAGAGTGACCCTAGCTTGCCTGGTGGCCCTACCCAGGTGGCTACATTCTCCTTCAAGTGAAGTATGCAGGCTCTTCCTGGGAACCCTGTGAAAGCTTCCTGGAGGCTGTAGTCTCCAGAGACAAGAAGAACACTGCTGGTGACCAAGAAGTCCAGAGAGTCATCGACCTGGCCCAGAGGTCACCAGTTGTGTAATCTGGCGCAAGCCATGTGGCCCCTGGGTGCTCACTTCCCTCATCTGAATTCACCAGGGCTCATCTGAGGATGGAAAGTTCATAAAGGGCTAAGGATGCAGCTCAGGGAATAGAACACTCACCTAGCATGCAGGAAGGCCCAGATCCCATCCTCAGCACCAAGTAAAGTAGGCATGGTGCTGTGTAGATGTAACCCCTGCACTTGGAAGGCAGAGACAGGAGGGTCAGGACCTCAAGGTCACCCTTGGCACAAAATATGCTCAGCTGACTGCTGTCACAGAGTCAGTGTCATGACATTCTGCTGCTCTGCCTGCTTCCCTGGGAAGGGGTAAGAATGACCATGATAGCCAAGGTGGCCAGTGTCTCTCCCATGTCCTCTCTGCAGCCATCATTCTCTGAAGATGGGCTTGAGACTGTGTCATCCGCAGCCCGAAGCTGGTAGCCACTGTTTTCTTGGAAATGTGAATTGCAAGGAAACTCCTTGTCCACTGAGATTACTAAGCAACCATAGCTCAGTTCCCCCAAGATGATGGCTTTTATTAGAAAGCCCTCAAGCTTTTTATAGATTGGAATCCTGTGTCCTAGGGGAGCATTCGTACAGTTCCAGAGTCCCCTGGTCACTGCACAGCCTTAGCAGGGGGACAGTAGTATGTCAGAGGCTGGGGGCTCTGGAACAGGGTTGTGTACACATCTGTGGGTGGAGGGTCTGAGGATGTAGATTGGTTGGGAGAGTGCCTGGCCTCCATCCCTAGCACTACATAAACCAGGAATAGTGGCATACACCTATAATTCCAGTACTTGGGAAGTGGAGGCAGGAGGACCAGGAGTTCAAGGGTATCCTCAGCTATATAGCAAGTTTGAGGCCAGCCTGGAACATGTGAGACATTGCCTCAAAACAAGACTCAAATGGAGGGCAAAGGTGGGAACTGAGGGGTCTATGTATGAAACATAGACTGACTCCACCCCCGAATTTAGGGCTTTCCCCAAGAACAGCACAGAGTGGTGATCTGTGTCCTGAGAACCATAGGCAGGTGTATTTATCCTAAAGAGGCCAAAGAGTAAATGCTTTAGCCACATAGTCTCCATGGCAGTTGCTGGCCCCATCTTTGTAACCCACAAGCAGCCCTAGGCTATGTGTCAACACACAACCACACTTGTGTTCAAGTAAAATATTGCTGATCGCTGGCATGGTGGTACACGCCTCTAATGCCAACACTTGGGAGGCAGAGAGAACAAATAAAACCTTTATTAGCACAGAAATGTGCTGGACCAGATGTGGACTGCAGTCTATGTGTTGCCAGCCTGGCCCTGGTCTAGCCTTTTCCTGTTTGCAGAGTGACTCACTGCCCTGCTTCCCAGCGGGCAATAGTTTCTGTAGCCATGACCTAGAGGAGGAAGGAGCCTGGCAGAAGTAGTGGGGTGCTGGTGAGAGCCACACAGCCAGGCTGGCCTTTGGATTGTGCTGCCCAGGCCAGAAGCCTCATGCCGTTGCAGGTGTGGAGAGCAGCCTGCGTGTGACCCACTGCCGCCTGATCCTGCAGAGCCTCCCTGAGCACAACTACACCGTCCTCCGCTACCTCATGGGTTTCCTGCATGAGGTAAGTGGAGCTATCTGCCTCCCGGGATGAAAGCCCAGACCAGAGCTATTTTCCCCAGGTCCAAAGTCATAACCACTCCACTCTAACCACCAAAGGACGTCACTTAAGGTCCAGCCAGGCTCCTCTGAGAAGCTTGACAGTCTGATGCGATACCCAGGGATGGGAGCCGGGAGGGACAGAGGGGACAGTCTGTCACATGATGTCACATTGTTGGCTTTGTGTGTATGGTATATGTTCATGTACATGTTGGTGCATGTGTGTGTGCATGAATATTTGTGATTGTACACGTGGAGGACAAATGTCAGGGTTAGAGGTCTTCTTCAGCCACTCTCATGGTTTGAGACAAAGGCTCTTACCTAGCGCTCATTTACTCAGCCAGCCTTTATTGGCTGTCCAGTGAGCTCCAGGGTTCTGCCTGTCTTTGTACTCCCATACCCAAGTGCCAGGATTAGAGGCATGTGCCGTCACACGCACTTTTTTTTTTTTTTTTTTTTTTTTTTTTTTTTTTTTTTTTTTTTTTTTTTTTTTTTTTTTTTTTGTGGGTGCTGGGAATTGAACTCAGGTCCTGTGGTCCTGTGGCAAGTTCTTTAGATGGCACCAAGCCATCTCCCCAGCTGCCCTCTATCTTACCCTCGCATTCACCACAAGCAATTCTCTCTTGCTGTTGCCTGATTACTTATCACCCAAGCGAGGATGTGATCAGATCCTCTTAGTGGAGAAGGGATTTCTCAGGCTTCCTCCTCAGGCACTTGTGGGAACTGGTCTTTGTTGTATTGCTCCCACACAAGGGCTCAGAGGCAGGTCTTCCTTGCCCTCTGTGCTCAGTTTCCTCATCTGCAAAATGGAGAGTACTGAATCCTATTTATCCAGGTAGCCGTGTCAGCCAGGAGGATGGGATCCCTCAAGGTAGAAAGCTCTTGGCTCTCAACCACCGTCCCCATAAGCCTGAGCTCAACTTACCAACCATATCACAGAAGCCAGAGGGCACCTGGCTTAGATCTGCAGTGCTGGGCGCCTTTCCACCCCCCCTGAGTCTGCCAAAGTGGAATGGGAGTTGATGGGCACTCATGAGATTCTGGAAGTCAGACTGGAGGATCAGAGGGTCCCCACAATGTCAAGGCCAGAACCTTCACAGATGGAAAAACTGAGAAACTGAGGCCCGAAGTGGGGAAATGACCACATAAGATCTTGACATTGACTGTAGCCTCCATTCCAGAACTCTTTTATTTATTTATTGTTTAGTTATTTATGTGGGGTGTGTGTGAGAGAGAGAGCGCTACAGCATGCACACGTGGAGGTCGGAAGACAGCTTGCAGGGAGCAGGTTCTCTCAGACCACCATGTGGGTCTCAGGAATTGGACCTAGGTTGTCAGGCTCTGCAGAAGTTATTGTTACCCACTGAGCCATCTCACTGACTCCAGTGTTGTTTTTGAGACAGGGTCTCACACTGGCCTGGAATTCACCAAGTAGGCTAGGCTGGCTGGCCAGTGAGTGGCTGGCTGGCCAGTGAGCCCTAGGGATCCACCTATCCTTGCCTTCCTGATCTGGGATTAGAAGTGTGCACCAGATTATTCTGGGGACCAAACTCTGGCTGGTGTGGCAAGCGCTCGGTGAGGCTAATTGAGCCATCTCCTAAGCCCAGTCCTTCCCCTTCCAGAGCTCTTTCCACCATACTAGCCCCTCAGGGGTGAGGATGGAGTCCAGAGCTCTCTCTACCACACTGGTCTCCTTTGGGGTTCGGACGGCATCCAGGCTCTTGATGCATGGGATTCATTTCTCATTTCCCAGGTGTCTCAGGAGAGCATTTCAAACAAGATGACCAGCTCAAACCTGGCATGTGTGTTCGGGCTGAACTTGATCTGGCCGTCACAAGGGGTGGCTTCCCTGAGTGCCCTGGTGCCTCTGAACCTGTTCACGGAGCTGCTGATTGAGTACTATGACAAAATTTTCAGTGCCCAAGAGGCCCCCAGGGAGCACACACAGAACACTGTGGAAATGGAACAGGCTGGCCCTGTCACCAAAGGATTCACACAGACAGGCGTGCCCCGGGCCTCACCATACTTGCCACGCCTCCGCATCCCCTGACTGGCTGACACCTCAAGTTGGGATGCCCCCTTGCAATCTATGAATCTGTCCGTTTGTCTTATGAACTTATTGTCTATAAGAAGACGCAGGAATTAGATGAACCAGAACTTTTTAGTGAGAATTTTGTGCTTCTGATTGTTGGGTCCATCGTGGTCCTTGGCTATGGCTAAAGTGAAACAGATCTATGAGGGTGATTGTTTATCCAATGTGACTTAAGAGAAATGTGAATTTGTGGGCAAGGGGCCCAGAACATTCACTATGTGACAGGCAATCCAACCTAGTGACTCACAGCTTAAAAGGGTTTCCTACTGTGTCCTCAAGTCATATTCTCAGTCCACAAGTGAAGACTGGGAGACCCAGGAAAGTAAGAGTACACCCATGCCCAGAGCCATGCTGTTGGAAAACACTGTTCCCGAAATTAACTTTAGCTTACAGGTTACAGTCCCTCATGAAGGGAGGGCAGAGCAGGAACCCAAGGCAGGAACCTGGAGGCAGCAACTGAGGCAGAGGCCATGGAGGAGTGCTGCTTACTGGCTTGCTCCTCATGGCTTATTCAGCCTGCTTTCTTACAGCACCCAGGAGTACCAGCCCAGGGGTGCCACTGTCTTTAGTGAGCTGAGCGCTCACACTCAATCATCAGTCATGAAGATGCCCTGTAGTCTGGCTGAAAGGCAATCTGATGGAGGCATTTTTCTCCACTGAGATTTCTCTTCCCAGATGACCATAGCTTGTGTCAGGCTGACAAGAAATTAACCAGTATAGCTGTGTCTAAACCCATGCAGGCTTCTGCTCTGCAACTTTCACAGAGAAGCAAGGATGAGGGAGGCTCCAGGCTTGCTCTTCCCATCCAGACAATAGGTGCTTATACCCATCCATCTCATGGTGGCTTGAGCTAGAATTGCAGCCCACCTGCCCCACACTGTCAGCCTTGGCACATTTGGTCTCCTCTGCCAGATTCCTGTCTGGGCATAAAGCAGTGAGAAAGCTGAATACTCTCCCTAATATGGATGTTTATCTACTTATATCTGCCACTGAACAGTCATGCTTGTATGACTGTATCTCCTGGTTGTACCAAAATTGCTCAGCATGTCTAACCCAAGGCTCAGACACAATCCGCCATAGCTATGGACACAGCACAACCCAGAATGGCAAAGTTGCTTGAAAGTTGTTAGTGATTGGGGCAGGGAGGGGGGTAACTTAACCCTGCAGTATTTTCCCCCCTGCGGTTCTTGAGCGTGAGTTTGTAGATGACAACTTGTCACACCACAGAAAGGTTGGACACTGATAGATATTTGAGATTAAAATAAATATGTCTCCATTGGTCAGCACTATCATACCTCTATCGGCAGCCTGAGTGGCCCTCAACTGAAGTGCCTTTCACCAGATGCCCTGCCTGCAGCCAGGAGCTCTGGCCTGGCCTGTACTGCCTCTGAGCTCAGGTGGGACTCCGAAGCCCTGGCTTGACCCTGGCTTGACAGGAGCCCTTGGTGCCTTTGGCTTTAGAGGCTTCTGGATTCTCTTCTCCACACCCCCTCCCCTTGCCCCTAGTCAAACTCCAGTCACATGTGCTGTCCCGTGACCCGCCCACCATGCTCTGTCATGAGTTTTCTGCTTTTTCTGCTGCTCTGTCCTTCCTGTCCCTGAGGCACTTGGCTTTTCCCCGGGTTCATGAAACTAATTGCGGCTTCTTCTCCTTCCTTTCTGTTATCCTAAAAGTCTTCCTTTCCCCCTTCTGTTTCTTTCACTTTGGTGTCTTCATTTCTTTTTTCCTTTTTGTTTTGCTTCCTCTTTCTTTCCTCCTTATTTTTCTCTCTTCTCTTTCTTTCTTTCTCTCTTCTGTCATTCATTCTTCCTTTCTCTTTGCATATCTTTCTTTATCTCTTTTTCTTTCTTCCTCTCTATTTCCCTCCCCCTCTCCTTCCCCTCCCTCCTCCCCCTCTCCTTCCTTTCTTCTTTCTATCAACCCCAGGCTATCAAACAAAGTGGGCTCCCAGCAAGGCTCAGTATGGAACCCGAGGCAGCCAGCCCCCATGTCCCTGCCAAAGTCTCTGGAAAGGCCTCCATGCATCTGCCCCCCCCCCCATGATGTCTTTGCTCACAGAACCCTGAATAACTCTAAGGGTCTCAGAGTTCTGCTGCCAAGAAGAAAGAAAGAAAGAAAAAGAAAGAAAGAAAGAAAGAAAGAAAGAAAGAAAGAAAGATGATGGCTCCCTTAAGAGCCTGCCATTGTAAGCCCCGAATTAACAATGACATTAAATCAAGCCTCATGCATTATGCAGCAGGGTTTACAGGGAAATTCGCGTCTGTGAAATATATGTTTCAAATTTCCTGACTTGGAGAGCTGCCCCAAGATGGTCTCCTGCCGGTCCTTTGATAACAGTTTCTCTTCACAAATGGTAATTGTAGAATCCCAGCCCAGCACTGCGTGGCCCCGTCACCTTCCTGTGTCTCGGCACATTTTCCCGATCATTCCCACAGCAAAAGAAAGTGATTACAGCGATCACATGTGGGAAGCACACAAAACGTACCAGCTTAAAACAATGCCAGCAATGCCTGGACAAGACTCCAGGGTGTCAGCAGCGCCAGGACACACAGGATAAATTATCCAAACATTTGATTTTGCAGAAATGATAGAGATTTCCAGTGACTTCAGAGGTTCAGCAGGCTGCCCAGAACTTGTGGTTGACATTCACAGTGAACCACAGGCACCTGCCTAGATCCACATGCGCCATGGTTCACCATGTTGGAAAATGTCAGGGAGAGAAAATGGAAGTCAGAAAATAGAAGCCACTCGTCAATGGCTGAGGCACAGACTGATGCAGACACTGGGAGAGCAACTCAGTGAGCTGGGTAAATCAGACTGTGTGTCTAGGAATGACCTGGAAGGGCGACCAGAGCATTGCTGCAGGGAGATACAGCTGGCCTGTCCTTCATCAGCAAAAACAGCAGGTGTGTTGAGGTGTGTCACTGGGGTGACTGAAGAATGTTCTGCAATTAATATGGGCAGGGTTGATGTGTGTCGATTTGGATCTTAGTTTTTCCTGTTGCTGTGCTCTGCTGGTCAGCACCATCACACCTCTGTGTGACACAAAAACTGGCCCGAAATCTCACCCAATGCCACCTCTGCAAGCCCACAATCTCTCATCACTGGATGGTTTCACACATGTTGAATAATATACAAGTTGAAGTTGTTATTAAAAACTGAATGGTGTGGGGGGAGGGGTGGCTGGAGAGATGGCTCAGTGGTTAAGAGCACTGGCTGCTCTTC